CATTCCCTTCACCCTCCAGGCATCGCCCCTCTCACCACTGGTCCTGAAGGAGTCATCTATACTGGATTCCCTGTGTTTCCAGTTGCTATCTGTACCAACGTACATCCTCCGGTCCAGCCAGATTTGTAAGGTAGAATTGGGATCATGATCGTGGGGGCGGAGGAAGCATTAAAGAACTAGAGGAAAGTTACATGTTTCATCGTTGCTACCCTGCACCCTGATTGGCTCATCTCCTCCCCACAATCCCTCAGTAAGGGGGTGTTCAGTTGCCCACCGATGGGCCACATTTGTACATTTTTTGCCATCATCATTTTCAAAACATTTTCTTTCTATTTGAGCCCTTGGTATCAGCTCCTCGTTCCCCACCCCCCTCTTCTTACAGCCCCGTTTCTTCCTGGTTCTCTGCAATCCTCATTCAGGCTCTGTGACCTTCTCCCCAAGCCTCCCAACAGCCTCCAGTCTACTTCCTCATTCTCTCCCCCTCCCTGCGGGCAGGCTTCCAATCCCCGCCAGAACCCAACTTGAATTGCCCTTCACTAAAATAGCTTCTGGAGCCCTGGTGGTGTCCTGGGGCTGCCTGGGGCTGCAATCCAAAGCAAGGTGAGCAGTTGAGGAACACCTGCCCACAAAGCAGGAGAAAGATGGACCATTTTTACTCCCTCCGGGAAAGAGTTACAGTCTCGGAAACCCTCAAGGGCAGTTCTACCCTGTCCTACAGGGTTACGATGAGCTGTCATGGACTCTGGCCCACAAACTCTACCATCTGGAGTCAAAAAGGACTCCTGGCCTGGCAGCTTTGCTCATCCTCCTGAACTCAATGCCTTTCCAGTCATTACACCCACCGCTGCACGCACCCACCCCCTTCCTTTTAGGGAAACTTACTCTGAAGTTGTTTTTATTGTGACTCCCCAAACACATCCTGTATTTTTCCAGTTCACGGCATTTGTTGATCCCTTCTTTTTCTCACACAGTCATCCTCCATCTGCATTTGTCATACCCCACACACTCACATTCAAGGTCATCTCAAATGCCGCTCTTCCCTAAAGCATTCCCTGACCAATGGTGAGTGAGCACTCTTGTACACTAGTCTTAAATATGCTGAAGACCCTCCAGAGAGTTGTCCTGGTCAGGATCCCCTTCCCACACCAGAAGGGAAGACACTCAAGGCTCAGGTGTCAACTTTATCTGGTTTTCTTCAACCAGCAACGGAGACCGACACAAGCCCTGTTGCCCTTACCAATACTTCTCACAAGGTGCCTTGCACAAGCAAGTGCTCACAGGGGGTTCAGTTCTGTCATAAGCGGCGATCTCTCACGGCGACTCTCCACCTTCCTCATGCCGGGACCCTTTAATACAGTTCCTCATGTTATGGTGACTCCCAACCATAAAATTATTTTCGTTGCTACTTCATCACTGTCATTTTGCTCCTGGTATGAATCAGGCAACCCCTGCAAAAGGTTGAGAACCGCTGCTCTAAGGTACTACCCTTATCAATCTTGTGCTACTAACATCAGTAGGTGGCTGTAACCAACAGGTTTATTTTCTCACAATTTAGAAAACTACAAGTCCGAATTTAGGGCGCAACCTCTAAGACAAGGCTTTCTCTCTGTCAGCTCTCAGGGAGGGTCTTTGTCACTTCCACTGTTTCCTGTTGCCTGGGGATCTGCAGGTGGCTTGGCATTCCTCTTTCCCCATCCCCACGCTTCCCTGCTTGTCGGATCTCTTTTTATCTCCAGGGAGACTTGACTCAAGATTCCGCCCAACACTAATCCTGCCTAACCGAACAAAGGCACCCCATTTCCGAGTGAGAGTCTAGCCTCCAGCATCGAGGTTGGGGGTCACAAGTTACTTTTTCAAAGGGAACAATTCAGTCTGGAACAGGCAGTTACCAACGTGTCACTTTGAGAGTAAGTGTAACCATTACCTGCAACATTCAGGTAATGCCTCACCAGTTTAAAAGTTCTTCGCAAACATTTTATATGAGCCATAAAACAAAAGGAGCACACATTCTTGTGACTGTTGACCCCTTTTGCCTTTGAAGCCCTTGGCATCAGACTTTGTGTGAATATTTCTGCCCACCCTTAAGTGGATGGCTTTGCCAAGTTTTCTCTAGTGAAGAAAAGCTCTGAACCTTTGCAGTGTGTGTGTGTGTGTGTGTGTGTGTGTGTGTGTATGAGTGGGTGTGTCTGCGTACAGGGTGTCTGTGGTGTGCATGTGCGGGGTGTGTGCAGGTAAGGAATCGTTTGTAGGCTGTGGATATGGGGTGTGACGTGTATACACAGGTTGTGTATGTGCGGCATGGGGGTGTGTACAAAAAGGTGTGTATGTGTGTTTGTGCATGTATGTCTAAGTGTTTTCATGTGTGCAAAGGCAGGCAGAGCCCGATCAGGTCCTGATGTGTTCATTTCGATTAGTCCTCGTGCTGTATCCGTTCTGTGTAGACCTACAAGTGCGTGCGTGCGTGTCACGGTGACTCCTTGACCTTGCTGGGTCAGTACTGCATGGAAACATCCCACTTCCTTGTGTAAGCGCTTCTGCCTCCCCCACCCCCACGACGGGTCCACAGGCCCTCCCTCACCGGCCACATGTCCCGACATGTGCTGGCCGCCGGGACCTCTCCACCCCCACACGCAACTCACACACAACACGCACATGCAACACACTCCGGCGCCCAGGCTTTGCACAGGCCCAGTCTCCACCCTCCTCTTAAAGGTTGGAATTTCCATTGCTCTCCGGCCAGAGGCTGCGAGCCCGGGTAGGAGGAGTCGAGCGCAGGCCCGCCCCACCCCTCCGCCGACTTAAGGCGCACCGCGCGGCTGCCCGCCCGCATTCCGCCTGCCTCCGCACCCCGTGCGTCATGTGTCGCTCCCGCAGCTCCCTGCCCACCATGACCGTCGTGCCAGCCCCGACGCCTGTCCCCTCTACTAGCCCAGGACCCCGGCGCGGATCGGGTCCCGAGATCTTCACCTTCGATCCGCTGCCAGAACCCGCGGCGGCCCCAGCCCCGCGCCCCTGCGTCTCCCGTGGGCACCGCAAGCGCAGCCGCAAGGTCCTCTACCCGCGAGTGGTAAGTGTTGCGGGACAGGGCTGCCGCGGGGCGCCCCACCCCGACCCCGGGAGGGACTGCCAGGCCTCGGGGTGCCTGAACTAACCGGTCCCCCTTGCTTCCCTCCGCTCAGGTCCGGCGCCCGCTGCCCGCCGAGGAACCCAACCCGGCCAAAAGACTGCTCTTCGTGCTACTCGCCATCGTCTTCTGCCAAGTCCTGATGGCCGAAGAAGGGGTGCCGCTGCCCCTGGCCGCGGAGGACGCCCCCGGCGACGCGCCCCCCGCGCCCGTGCCTGCGCCCCCCGTTTCTGAGCCCTTGAATCTGACCGCGGAGCCCTCGGACTACGCGCTGGACCTCAGTACTTTTCTCCAGCAGCACCCCGCCGCCTTCTGACCCCCACGCCCCTCACCGTCCCCGTCCCCCCGAGTGTGGGAAAGGGAGGCGGCAGGTGCGCGCGGTGGCCCCCCAACAGGAACGCTGGAGGCGACGCAAACTCAACACTACAAAGGAGAAGCCAGCGGGCGCTCGGGGGAGACTGAGGCACGGACTTCCCCAGGATCTAGATTGAGCCCGGGTGGCGAAAGAGCGTCGTTAATTTATTGCTCATTGCTCCTAATTACTATTTATGTGTATTTATGTATGTTCCCCGAGGTGATGGAGGGGTGTGTGTGCTATTTATTTTAACTTATGCTGGGCACGAGGTGTGCCCCCCTGCTGGAATCACAGATCTCTTGGTATTCATGGAGCTTCGTGGCGTTGGCCCAGGCCGGGCGCCTAGGATTGAGGGCGCCCCGGCTGGCAGTCAAGGTGGTGATGGGTCCTAGGGTTCCGGGATAACACTCTCAGTCGTCCAACAACTCCCTGGGGTCTACTGTGTGAGGCTCCCGTGGCCCGTTGGGTATAAAGTCCATGGCCTTCTGTCTCCCCGAGGTTACCCCTAAGAAGTAGCTGCGGGGACAAGGGTCGGTGGGCTGTCAGGGTGCGGCTGATGGGGTCGCCCCGTATGTTCTGTGAACAAAAATAAATTTGATTTATCCTCAACAGTCCTGTGCCTATGTCTGTGCGCGCGCGGCGACAACCTGCTCCCTTCTCGCCTTCAGGCGCCCCCGAGACGTGCGCGAGGGGGGGAGCCCAGGTCCCCAGCCCCCACTCCATCCGGCTGCTGGCTGCCGTCTCGCGTGGCCCAGTCTGCGGTTTCCCCAGGCCCGATGGGCAAATCCGAGATGAGGCAACCTCCCGATTCCCGGGACCTGCTTGCTCCGCTGGGTAGAGGAGTGGAGCCTGGGAGGGCTCCGCCCAGGAAGGGGGCGGGGCCGGAAGCTCCACCCCCGGCTCGCCAGCAGTCGCCCGGCGCGGTCCGGAGGCCTGCGGACCGGAGCGAGGCCTGCCGGGAAGGGGCGGGGCGAGACAGCCAGGGCCCGGGCAGGGGGTTGGTCCACCGCTAGGGGCGGGGTCGCGTCTGCCGCTGCAACAGGGTGCGGCCCGGGAGTGGGGCGCGGGCGGGGCTCGAGGCCTAGCTTCCAGGAATCCGTACGCTAGCGGGGCCTGCTTAGCTCCCTGCGCACCCCTGTTCTTCCCGGGAGCCCCGCTGGGCGCGCCCGTCCGGGCAGGTGAGTGGGGGGAGAGAGCGGAGGAGATGTCCAGGGAGGGTCTCTCTGCGTGGAAGGGCTCCTGAAACTGGGGGGGTGGGGGACACGGCGAGGGGAAGCGAAGAGAGTGATCGCCGCAGGCGGGAGAATGGGTCCTTTGGGGGGTCCCGGGATAGCACAGGGGAAGTCTTAGTGAGCCCTCGGGTGCATAAGGGCCGTGGGTGCAGGCTGGTCGACAATGATGAGGGAAAAGACAGTCTGGCGACGCCGAGGAGCACCCACCCCACCTGCTCTCCCTCTCTTCTAGCACCTCCCTGAGCCATGTTTTTCACCTGTGGCCCAAATGAGGCCATGGTGGTCTCAGGTAAGTCTTGTCCTTTTTCAGCCAGTGGCCCCCAAACCCTTGCGAATTTGGCCCCAGGGCCCTCCCCTCACCACCACCACCACCACCACGGCTTCCCTTCCAACTCCCGCACCCTCCTGCCCCTTGAAGGCGGCATGCCATACTCACTTGTCATTCCCAGGCACTACCCTTCCTGATCCCTGAGATCCCGGAAGGGAGCTGGATTGAGTGGGTCCCAAGAACCAAACCGCTCTGTTTGTGGGAGACAGTAGCCCAAGGGCTGTGCTCCCCCCCCAGTGCCCAGATCCCCCTCCTGTGGATTATTGCCCCCGCTTCCAGTTCTCAGAGCCTTCCACACCCCAGCTCCCCAACATGGCCACACCCACCCACTGCTCCCCTTGCAGGTTTCTGCCGAAGCCCCCCTGTCATGGTGGCCGGAGGAAGGGTCTTCGTCCTGCCCTGCATCCAGCAGATCCAGAGGTAGGTAGAAGAGGGGAAGAGAACCTCCATTCCCCACCCCCCGCCCCTTTCTCACTGTCTGTACCGTCTTTCCCCCTCCAGGATCTCTCTCAACACTCTGACCCTCAATGTCAAGAGTGAAAAGGTTTACACTCGCCACGGAGTCCCCATCTCAGTCACTGGCATTGCCCAGGTGAGGCTTTCAGAGCCTCCTCCCAGAGCTCGCTTGCCCATCACCTGCCCTCCCCCATTGAACAGCATGTGATCGTGCCCTGGACACCCTCGCCTCATGAGAAGTTTCTCGGCTAGGTTCCCCACCCCTGGGCCCCCACCCCACCCCAAGGCACTTGGCTCTTCCTTCCATCCACTCTGGTTGCAGGTGAAAATCCAGGGGCAGAACAAGGAGATGCTGGCGGCCGCCTGCCAGATGTTCCTGGGGAAGAGCGAAGCTGAGATTGCCCACATTGCACTGGAGACGTTAGAGGGCCACCAGAGGGCCATCATGGCTCACATGACTGTGGAGGTGGGCCTGAGGCTGGAACCGGGGCTAGGGGAAGGGCTGGAAGGGATTCCAGAGTGAGTGGGTCCCAAGAAGCAAATGAGGCTGTCTGTGAGAGACAGTGGCTAGAGGACCTGAGGGCTTAAGTTGCTCCTTCCCACCATCCTGTTGCCCTAGGAGATCTATAAGGACAGGCAGAAATTCTCAGAGCAAGTTTTCAAAGTGGCCTCATCAGACCTGGTCAACATGGGCATCAGTGTGGTTAGCTACACTCTGAAGGACATTCACGATGACCAGGTCAGTCAAGGCAGTTGCTCTTCCGGCTCCCCTACTCCCCATCCCCAAAGCCTTCCTGGGGACCCTGATTCCTGCTTCTGCCCTACAGGACTATTTGCACTCACTGGGGAAGGCTCGAACTGCTCAGGTCCAAAAGGATGCTCGCATTGGGGAAGCAGAGGCCAAAAGAGATGCTGGGATCCGGGTGAGAGGGATTGGGTCATTGCATTCACCTTGGGCTTATTGGGCACTGGTGGGAGAGGGGTTATGGAAGGGGCACAGCTGAGGTGGCAGCTGGTGGAGCTGGGCTCACAGGGGCAACAGAAGAGGTCAGGGTGAGCAAGCAGGGGACCCTGCTGGGGAAGATGCTCTCATACCTGTGGCCTTCCTCCCCCTGCCCTGACTTTTCCTACTGAATCTCTGCCTGGACAGGAGGCCAAAGCCAAGCAGGAGAAGGTGTCCGCCCAGTACCTGAGTGAGATTGAGATGGCCAAGGCCCAGAGGGACTACGAGCTGAAGAAGGCTGCTTATGACATCGAGGTCAACACTCGCCGAGCACAAGCTGATCTGGCCTATCAGCTTCAGGTCAGAACCGCCATGCTGGGCAAATGGCGAGGCTAGACTGGTTCCTTCCCCATCCTTCTGAGGCTTACATGATTGCTGTGGTTTTGTCTCTGATCACCCCAGCCTGGTGCTTCATGTCAAACTCATTTTCCTCTTCAGAGATCTCAAAGACCTAAACATTTAAGCTAGGAAAAAAAAAATTTTTTTTTAAGGCCAAGGAAGGATGAAATGAATCACAACAAAAAAAACCAAACCAGTAGGGGTCAAGTTGACTCTGACTGACCCCACGCCTAGAGTAGAAGTGCCCTAGGTGATTTCCAAGGCTCCAGCCTCTGCAGAAGCAGATTACAGCTTCATCCTCCCAAAGAGCAGTTAGTGGGCTTGAACTGCCAGCAATTCAATTTGTGCATAACCACTGCACCACTAAGGCTCCTTATATGATCAGCAGGGCTGATGAGGTATTGGGAAAAGTTGCATCTAGAGAAGGGGGGAAAGCCTGGCTATGCACACTGACATGGGCTGCACCCCCCTCTCAGGAAAGGACACCCCGTAGTTTAACACCAGTTGGGTGACGGAAGAAGAGTATGAGCAAGGAGATCCTAGATGTGGGCCATGACTCCTACGAAGCAGGCCCGGCCAGCTCCTTCAGTTGCAAGGAGGGACCTAAGACCGTAAGCCCAACCTGAAACAAAACCATTCGCTGTTGATGTGGCCCGATGCACAGAGGAGAGTTGCTGCGCAGGTGTTCAAGGCCGTTACCTTTGGAAAGCAGGTCACCTGGGCTTTCTCCTGAGGTGCCTCTGGGTTGGTTTTGAACCGCCACTCTTTTAGGAGTCCAGGGCTTCACCATTTGCACCACCTCGAACCTTCTTACCCCAGAGGTGGAAATATGATGACATTTGTCTTTGCCAAGAGCGGGTACAGGCTGGTAGCCTGATGTGGTGCAAGACAGCGTTAGTTATGATGCAAAATTCCCAGGTGGCTTGATGGGTAATCGCATGTGGCATAATGTCTTGTTACTCACATGCGGTCAGCCTGACAGCAGCATTGTCACAGCTTGTTTGAAATACCAAGGCTCAGTCCCCAGTCCAGTCCAGACTGAATTAGGGGCTGCACAATCCCTGAAGGATTCGATGTGAGAAGCATTAGCAGAGTGGGTCCCCCTAGCTTGCTGTGAGACGATGGACAAAGTCCTTACTGAACATGGTTTCCCTCATCTGCAAGAGAAAGGCATCGGGCTGCTTGAGGCTTTAGCCCACTTGTGTCAATGACTTGTCAATGTCTCCCAGGGGACAAGCACTGCACCAAGTACCCAGGAAAGAAAAATCTATGCAGCAAAGACCAAGTGCCTCCTATGTGCCCGTTACTGTTTGGTGGGTAAGGAAGTAGATAAGACGGGACTCTTTCTTGGTGAAGCTTGCCTTCTAACCCCCAAAGCAGTTACAAAGCACATGAAACGGCCATCACAGGCCGTAACTATTCTTAAGCAGTCAAGTGCCACAGAGGAAATAAACAGGGTGATGTGAAAACAATAGCTCAGTCCCACCGCCACGGAGTGGACCCCGAGTTATGGCGACCCAAGATAGGGTTTCTGAGGCCGAGTGGCCTTTATGGACACAAAAAGTGGCTGCTGGGTTTGAACCACTAGCCTTGTGATCTCTCGGAGTGCCTGGTGGGTTTGAACCACTGGCCTTGTGATCAGCAGCTCTGTATTTAGTCATTGAGGGGCCTGCATTCAATTTGGCAAGGGAGGCCCGAGAGAGCATTTGAGAAGAAGCGATGCTTGACATAAAACAGCAGTTCTCTACCTGTGGGTCACGGCCCCTTTGGGGGTCAAACGACCCTTTCACAGGGGTCACCCGATCCCTAACAGTAGCAAAATGACAGTATTGCTGTAGCAACGAAAATAATGTTATGGTTGGGGGGTCGCCACCACGTGAAAGGGTCGCGGTGTGAGCAAGGTGGGGAACCACTGAGGAAAACCTGCAGATAGAGAGCCAGCACTGCACAGTGGTGTGGCCACGAGCACAAGTGGCCAGTGCCGTCCCAGCAGAACTCTCTGGGCAGGTGCTGATGGTCCCCAGCAGTGCCGGGATTGGGCATCTAAAATGCAACTCGTCAGAGAAACGGGATTTTACATGTCATTTCATTTTACTGGATAGCAAGCGCTACAGGTGGCGAGTAAGGCCCTGGTGAAATGCTCAGCTGCTAACCAAAAGGTCAGCCGTTTGAACCCACCAGCCACTCAGTGGGGACAAGATGAGGCGTTCTGCTTCCATAAAGATGTGCAGGCTCGGAAACCCCGCGGGGCGGTTCTACGCTGTTCTAGAGGGTCGCTACGAGTCGGAATTGAGCAGGCGACATGAGTTTGGTTTGGGCTGCGAGGTAGCTCATGGCCAGGCAGAAGATCAGCATGTACAGAGGCTCTGGGTATAGAAAGGAGCTTGGCCTCGCCCTGGAGCAACCAGGCAGTTTCTGATTTGGTGAGCTGTGAGAGGAGAGGAGAGGCAGGGAGGGCCAGCCCTCGCGCGCAGGGGTGAGCGGCCACGATGGAGACGCGGAGGACCATTTGCAGCAGGGATGTGTCGTGACCTCATTTACATTTTCTTCCAAACCGTCCAGTTGCTGCGGAGAGACTAGATCATCAAGCGAGGAAAGAGGGAGCGGGGAGCAGCACTAACAGAGCTTTCTGAGATGATGCATTGAATGCGTGCAGCTAATTGCCCTCTCGCCCTGCAACAACAGAGTGATTTAAAGAACCATGGAACAGGAAGGAAGCCAGAGCGCTGTGTGCAGAGTGGACAGCAGCGGTAATTGAGGACAGCTGGCCTGTAAGCCTGCAGTGGGGAATGACCACTGCGAATTAAGAAGGACAGGACGTCAAGTGGCTTCTGGGGACATCCCTCCTCCAGCTCCTTGACAATGGCAAGTTTCTTATCTGGGGAAATTAAACCAGAGGCTGAGACTGAGGGCCGGCTGGACACAGGCGAAGCCCTGTTAGGACTTCACCCATGGCAGGGCTATGGAGTGACTGTGTGCCTGTTGCATGCTCACTGCCGACAGACACGAGCCCCCCGGTCCTGTGCCACCACTCGGCTCCCAGAACCTCCATCACCCTCACCCTCAAGGACAGCTCAAAGCAGCCAGTCCCAGCTACAGACCCCAAGCTTAAGCTCTGGTTCGGGTCCTTCCAATGGTAAGGGAGAATCCTGGTTGGAAGTCAGCTGCTAACCTAGAGGTTGGCAGTTCAAACCCTAACTCCCACTCGGACTTTGCAGGAGAAAGGCCTAGTGAACCGCTTCTGCAAAGATTACAACCAGGAAAAAACCTTACGAAGCGGTTCAGCCCGTGAAGTCTCCAAGAGGCAGAATCTGCTTGATAAAAAATGGGTCAACCTTAACATACTAGAGCACATCCAAAAAAAATTTTTTTTCAGGGGAAAATGGGATTGAAACATAACGGTATCGGTTTACAATCTCTTTGAAGCCCCCATGTATAGGGGCATCTTTCAACAGAGTCAGTTGAGCCCAGACCCAAAACAGCAAAGCAATTTGAAGGGTACAGACTATGCAAGCAGAAGAAAAACATGTTTTTAATTAACCTGTTTGTCCGGGAAGAAAAGACGTCACATGCAAGCAATCAAGACCTAGAACAGGAAGAAAAGGGTGGGACCTGAGCTCATAGAAATCAACACGATGGAAGAGAAAAATTAAATCACATTGGTAGAAAAATTCTATGAATCTCCAAGAAAATCGAGCAAAAACAACAGAAATACTAGAGAGGAGGAAAGACGAGAATATTTAGGGCCTATTAGGGGCATCTCATAGGAGAAAAAAAGGAGGGAATTACTAAGAGTATAATTCAGAAGAGCATCTCTCTTCTGAAAGATGTCCGTTGTGTAGAGTGCAACACTCCCAGCCAAGCGCTCAACACCCGTAAGGAAGAAGCTCTCCATTGAAAGACCCACACCGCACGATTCTAGGACAGAGAAAGGACAGCTGTCGACTAAAAGTCTAGGTATCAAAACAAATCAACTTTTCTCCAGAAGCTAGGCCTTCACATTTCTCACGGAAAAGTCAATGCCCTGTCTGAGGCGGCCTATTCCCAGCCTCATGAGCATGCCCTTCAACTCGAAGAAAATGATGAGGGTCTTGGAGAAACAGAGTCTCCCAAAATGTATTGCCCACACTTTCTTTCTGAGGTGGCTGAACTTCACCAAAGGATGGGCCTAAACAAAGGGGGAAAGAAATAGGTGAGTCCCAAGAAACAGCAGATCCAACTTCAGAGCAAGGTGAAGGCTAGCCCCAAGATGATGGATGGGGAGGGGTGGGGGGCACAGACTGGCCGCTGCACACCCTGGGACAGAGACAACTACCGTATATACTAGAGTATAAGCCGACCCGAATATCGGCCAACGCACCTAATGTTACCACAAAAACTGCATTAGAAATGTGCTGAGAAACTTGGCTTATACACAAGTATATCCGGTAACCTCATTTGGAACAGGTTCGAAAATTTGCCGTCAAAGCCACTCTCCGATGTCCTAGCCAAAGCCACCGTCCCCAACAGAGTGACCAGGCTCAGCCACAGGCGTGGGACCATCCCTGTATTGATGGACCCCACAGGGCTGGCTGAGCGGTGTAATGAGACAGGAAGTGGATTCCTGACTCGATGTGCTTCCTCACCACTGGCAAGAGCCTCCAGTCCCTGTGCTCTAACAGCATAAGAAACAGAAGCGTGGCTACGCAAGACGCCTTAGCTGCGCGCACCCCCTGGAGGACCACAGCAGAAGCACCCTCCCTCCGTGTCTCCACCATCGTGTGAGGGCAGTGGTTTCCCGCCCTTGAAACGTCTTCTCCTAACTAGTTCAGGATCAAGAGATTCCTGGCCAAGAAACAGAAGCAGAATTGGCCCATTCCCCAGTGGATTCAAATGAAAACAGGTACGAGTAGGATTGGGTACCATGGCAGCAGATGATTGTGGAGAAGAACCAAGCTGGGTCTGTAAAGAGTCCCGCGCCGTGGTCCCACGCGGTGTTTACCTAGATTCACCAGCCCTCTGTTGCACCAAGTTTAAAACCCCACCCTCTGCCGGGTTGAACCTGTAATGGCGAACACCTGGTTTCTTCTTTGGTTTTCGTTCTTCCTCGTTAAAGGGTTGACAGCTAATAAGTCCGTGAGACATTTGGTTTGGGGGGAAAGGAATAGAGTGGAAACTGGTCACAGTTCCTTCTGGGAAAGGGAAGGCACCAGGTGGTTTTGCAGAAAGGTGTCAGAAAAAAACCCTCACTGTTTACCTTTTTCTCTGGAATTTGTACCACGTAAACCCATCACAGTTTCTGTTGCCCAGTAAGACTCTTCCCATAGGGTTTTCTTGGCTGTCATCTTACATCGACGTGGAATGCCAGGCCTTTCTTGCGCAGTACTGCTGGCTGGGTGGGTTCCAGCCACCCCTCTTTAGGCCAGTAGTCAAGAACCATCCATTTGCACCATCTAGAGATCACTTGAGCTGTACTGCATACAAATGATGAAAACTGAAGTCAGTAGGAGACAGGACAGTAGCCAGGCCTAGAGCGGATGGTGGCATGAACCAAGGTTATGGCTACAGAGAAGGAGGAAGTGAGTGGGTTTGGGAGAGACTGTGGAGGCAGACAGGGGTCCTGGTGACGTGGTGATGAAAGGCTGACCTGCAGACCAAGGCCAGGGCGATTTCAGGTTCACTAGCAGGACTTTGAACCGATCCCTTGCTGAGAATTTGCCACCCCGGACATACTGAACATTCCCAGGTGATTCTCACAGACCGCCAGGTGCTGTGGGGGAGATCTGAGGCCATCTGCTCCCCTGGGACTTATGGCCTTGGGGAGCCTAGGACACTTCTCCGTCCTCAAGGTTCGCCGTGATTTGGAATCAACTCCGAGTTGTGAGGAGGAAGGAGATGGCCCGTGTGGCGCGTCCACTCCAGAGGCAGATAGGTAGAGAGCCATCAGGGTGCCCAGCAGAGGGACACTTGACCTGGCCTGGGGGAGAACAGAGACCAGGCCCAGCGTGCAGATCCAGTGTCCACGTGGCAGGGGGACAGTCCCAGTGCTCTACTATTGGTTCTGAAAGGAGAGGCATCAAGCCACACCCCCAACCAAGCCTGGATTCTGGACCAGAAGTGAATCCCCCTGGCCTGGCTGAGCAGACGGAGGACCTGGCTTCTTGCATCGGCCCCTGTTCTCTGCTCTGGCCCTGAGCTTCGCCTTCTGCGTCCCAAACGCTTGGCTCCTCAGCTCTGACTCTGCGTGGCCTCTCACACACCCCCTCCTCCCCAAGGTGGCCAAGACGAAGCAGCAGATTGAGGAGCAGCGGGTGCAGGTGCAGGTGGTGGAACGCGCCCAGCAGGTGGCAGTGCAGGAGCAGGAGATTGCCCGGCGAGAGAAGGAGCTGGAAGCCCGCGTGAGGAAGCCTGCAGAAGCAGAGCGCTACCGGCTGGAGCGCCTAGCAGAAGCAGAGAAGTAAATCCCCCTTCCTTGCCCCACCCCTGGTCCCTTCACCTGCTGGGAACTGTATTTCTCCCAGAAAACTGAGGTTTCTAGGGCCCCTATCTTCCCCAGCCCTGACTCTCTTCCTGGGAACAAGCCCCCCAGCCCCACGACTCACCTTCCCACCCCGACCCCCAGCCCCACGACTCACCTTCCCTCACAGGTCTCAGCTGATCATGCAGGCGGAGGCTGAGGCTGAGTCTGTGCGGGTGAGTTAGGGGTGACTTGGCTGGTGGGGGGAGTGGGGGGCCGCTGCTTTGAACAGCAAGAGGCTTGTCCTTAACTCTTCCCACCAAGACCCATAAAGACCATGAGTCTCCCACGCGCTCCGCAGATGCGTGGGGAAGCCGAAGCCTTTGCCGTGGAGGCCCGGGCTCGAGCAGAGGCGGAGCAGATGGCCAAGAAGGCCGAAGCGTTTGAGCTGTACCAGGATGCAGCGCAGCTAGACATGCTGCTGGAGAAGCTGCCCCAGGTGTGGAGGGCTGTGGGTGGCGGAAGAAGGACCCAAATCAGGGTCCTGGGGGTTGGGGTGAGGGTGGGGGGTAGCTAGAAGCTTGGGGGAGAATCAGGTTAAGGGGCCCTAAGTTGTGAGTGACTATTATAAGGCAGGACCCAAAGGGAAGAAAGGCGACCAGTAGGACCACACCTAACACAGCAAACCCTCACCATGGAGGCCGTTGAAACTCATGACCCTCCTGTGTTACAGAGTAGAACTGCTCATAGAGTTTTGTTGGCTGTAATCATTACCAGATCACCAGACCTTACTTCCAGGGCACTGTAGGTGCCTGTGAAGTGCCAACTCTTAGGTTAGCAGTGGAGGCCACGCTGTCTGTGCCCTCTAGGGACCATAGCAGTAAGACCAAGCCAAATCCAAACCCACTGCCAGCGAGTCCATTCCAATTCAGAGGGACCCGATAGAACTGCCCCGTAAGGTTTCCGAGGCTGCCCGTCTTGGCGGAAACGGACTGCCCCATTTCCCTTCCTGGGAGCAGCTGCACGGCTGGGCCCCAAGTAGTCAGATGCGTAACTCCCACCCAGTGCCCACTCAGGAACCCCCAGGACAGAGTAGAACTCCACAGGGGGTCTGTGCGGAAGCAGACAGCTTGCTCCCGAGGAGCAGCCGGTGCGTTCCCACCACCAAGTCTTCCGGGACCAGCCCAGTGCTTAACCCACTGCACTACCAAAGCGCCTTTCAGTGAGACAAGGCTCTGAGAGCCAAGGGTAAGGAGTGTACAGGAGGGAATCTGTGGTCCGTTCCTGGGCACCGAGAGTGGGCTTCTGTCGCCTACCAGGTGGCCGAGGAGATCAGTGCCCCCTTGACCTCGGCCAACAAGATCACACTGGTGTCCAGCGGAAGTGGGACCGTGGGGGCGGCCAAAGTGACCGGTGAGGTCCTGGATATCCTGAGCCGCCTGCCGGAGAGCGTGGAGAGACTCACGGGCATCAGCATCTCGCAGGTAAGGAGCGTCCCATGGTAAGAGCGGAATGGCTGGGTTCTCGTGTTTTTCTTGTTGTTTTTTTTTGCAAAGCGAAGAAACAGTGCTCCCAGTGTATTAAATAACTTGCCCCAAGCTGTCTCCACAGCTGGTGAAGCTGAGCTTCAAATCCAAGACAGTTGTCTCCAGGCTCTGTGCTCCTGGTCACCCAGCGAACAAGCTGCAGCCCTGTTAACAGTTAATTCCTCCCAATTCCCATCGCTGTGTGTGATCTTTTGATCGTGGTAGAGGTCAGAGAACCGGATCCGGGACCAAGCTGTGGTGCCTTAAATCTAGGCTTCGGTGCTTGCTAGCCCGAGTGACCTTCTCACTCAAGGTGACCCCGAGAGTCAAGGGCAACTCAGAGACCCTGTAGGACAAGATAGAACTGCCCCTCTGAGTTTCTGAGCCTAACTCTTTACAGGAGTAGAAAGCCCCATCTTTTTCCCCCAGAGAGTGGTTGGTGGTTTCAAACCCTGGACCTTGCAGATCCAGATTGCAGCCCAGCGCCTAACCACTAGGCCACCAGCGAGCCTGGTGTGTGACCTGGGACATGCTGATCTTTAATCTTTCTGTGCCTCAGATCCCTCACCTTAAGTGCAGAGGAACAACCGTGGAATTGTAGGAGAGAAACAAGAGTGGAATTGTAGGAGAGAGAGCGTGGGCAGTGCCTGGTATCTAGTAAGGCCCAGAGAGGTGTGTGAAAAATAAAGAGCCTACCAGAAGGCAGGCCTGGGCAGATCAGGAGACAAGGAGTGAGCCGATTTCTGGGCCCCTCCACCCACCTCAAGTCTCATCTGCTGTTGTGTTTCTGCCAGGTGAACCACAACAAGCCTATGCGAACAGCTTGAGCCCCGGCCCTGGAAGATGCCCTGCCTCGTCCTTCCGTTACCTGAAGAGTCCATGTTGCATGCAGACCAACCTGGCTTCCTGCGCATGCCCTTAGACAGTGGGGCCCGCCCCCCAGCCCTCCTGGCCAAAATCACCTGTGCCTTGCCTTGGATGGGGGGAGGCCTTCTCCCCTAGCCAACCCCACACTGCCAAGACTGCCCTCCCTCGCTCATACCAGCCTGCTCGGTATCCCAACCCCATTCAGCTGTGAGCTGGTGCCACCCATGCTTTCCTGATCAAGCCTGAGGGGTGGCCTGGAGTTTAACTTTACATGCCAAATATATTGTTGTCAAGGACTGTCATTTACGAACCATTAATAAAGCAGTTCCACATGAATGCTGCAATGTCGCTTGCACCTTTGCTTCTCAATACTTTCTAAAACAGAAGGAAAGGTACCTATATACTGTTACGAGTTGTAGAATTACTACCTTGTTTTTGTTTCAAGAATCCAGTCGGGAAAGCATGCTCAAGAGGGATGTTGCGAACTGCACCATGACCCAGCATTCCTACCGTGGCCAATAGAAGCACTCATGGACAACTCTTCGCGTTCCTGGGTAGCCTGAAGACCATGGTTTGGCGCATAAGCATTGGGCAGGCCAGAAAAATAAAGTTGCCCTGCAGTCACGTGTCACAGAATTAACCTCCATGGGCTTTTCAATGGCTGCGTTTTCGGAAACAGACTCCCAGGTCTGTCTGCTGAGGCACATCTGGGTGGATTCAAACTTCCAACCTTTCGATTAGCAGCTAAACATGTTAACCATTTACTACACCTGGCTGCTTCAGATCCGTGCTATTTTAGAACAAGACCCCACTGGTCTGTGACTCTGTAAACCCGCAAGATTGCAGAAGACACCAAGTACTCATAATCCAAAGGAGGCTGGTTGTCTGCCAAGTGGGAAACATGTTTCTCACACCTGAGCTCAATCCACACCAGCCCAGAGTGGGTCCAGGTGGTTGCAAGCCTGAGGCTCTGCAGTACCTGAGGGCTGCTGATGCTGGCCCTGGACCCACTTTGGAAAGCCAATTGGACATTCACTTCAGTGCCTGTTTCCCATCAGTCTGCTTGTAGGGTTGGCCCTGGTGGGGTGGAGAGGGGCAGTGGAGGGATACCAGGGGGTGCGCTGAGAAGCATCTAAGGGCTACCATGCACATTAGCCCAAGGGCAGGGTGCGCAAAGTTCCGAGAACTCAGCCCCAGGCATCCACCCACCATCATTCCCTAAATGAGCACGCGAAATGTTCCATTTTTCAATTCCTGTTTTATTTTTGGCTCTTGGGGCAATGTCATCTTTTCAATATGAAAAAAAGCAAGTTCAACACAAATAGAAACCTAAAGTGGAGAATGGGGCTGGGGGCAGAAAACAAGGATAGAAAAATTTTAAAGGCAGGAAGAGCAAATGAAGACAGATGTTTCCAGGGCCTGTTCCCAACTCCTCTGGGCAATGGAGGACTCACACCTGCAGGTGGCAGCACACACCTGGGCGACGGAAGGCCCTGAGCACTGTTACATTTTAGGGAAGGTGCGGGTAGGGAAGGCCTGCGGGGCTGGTCTGTGTTCCTCTTTCCTAAGCCAAAATGAGGGAAGAAAGGGCCCCTGGTCTCTCTCCGGGCAAGTGGAGCAGGCCCCTCCAGAGGAAACTGGGAGCTCAGGACTGCCTGGAGGGAAAAAGAAAATGGAAATAATACTGTCAACAAGGAGCATGGGTTGCCTGGTGACCACTGAAGTAGGTGGATCCCCATCCCTTCTAGTGACTTGTTCTGCAATGAGTTAACTTGGGCACAGGTTAAAGGCCACCTGGTTCTTAAAAGGATCTGGACGAGACCCAGCTCCCTGGGAAATTATCTTGCAAACACACGGAAGTTATTCACTGGACAGAGGGGAGCAGTAGGTGTCAGAAGTAAACAGGGTTACCCAGAATGTCAGAAATCTCAAGTTTCTCAGAGTGGAAAAAGAGAGGAGACATTCAACAAACAACAGGTATTTATTGAGTGCCAGGCACTGCTCCCGAACCCCCTCCAGGGGGAAGGAGAGAAAAAAAGGTGAGAGGCAGAAAATGCAAAATCTGAGGGATAGGAAAGGGGTCAGGGTCACTTGGGAAGAAGGCTGAGGGAGCTGAGAACCCTGAGCTGCTGGAACTCTGCCTTAGGCCTCCTCTTCAGCCTCCTCTCCGAAATCCTCCTCCTCTTCGGCGGTGGCATCCTGGTACTGCTGGTACTCGGAGACGAGGTCGTTCATGTTGCTCTCGGCCTCGGTGAACTCCATCTCGTCCATGCCCTCGCCCGTGTACCAGTGCAGGAAGGCCTTGCGCCGGAACATGGCCGTGAACTGCTCGGAGATGCGCTTGAACAGCTCCTGGATGGCCGTGCTGTTGCCGATGAAGGTGGCTGCCATCTTGAGGCCTTGGGGCGGGATGTCACAGACGGCCGTCTTGACGTTGTTGGGGATCCACTCCACGAAGTAGCTGCTGTTCTTGTTCTGCACGTTGAGCATCTGCTCGTCCACCTCCTTCATGGACATGCGGCCCCGGAAGACAGCGGCCACTGTGAGGTACCGGCCATGGCGGGGGTCGCAGGCGGCCATCATGTTCTTGGCATCAAAGACCTGCTGGGTGAGCTCGGGCACGGTCAGGGCCCGGTACTGCTGGCTACCACGGCTGGTGAGGGGGGCAAAGCCGGGCATGAAGAAGTGGAGACGTGGGAAGGGCACCATGTTGACGGCCAGTTTGCGGAGATCGGCATTGAGCTGGCCGGGGAAGCGGAGGCAGGTGGTGACCCCGCTCATGGTGGCCGACACCAGGTGGTTGAGGTCTCCGTAGGTGGGCGTGGTCAGCTTCAGCGTACGGAAGCAGATATCATAGAGGGCCTCGTTATCGATGCAGTAGGTCTCGTCCGTGTTCTCCACCAGCTGGTGGACAGAGAGGGTGGCATTGTAGGGCTCGACCACCGTGTCGGAGACTTTGGGGGAGGGCACCACGCTGAAGGTATTCATGATACGGTCGGGGTACTCTTCGCGGATCTTGCTGATGAGCAAGGTGCCCATTCCAGAGCCGGTGCCTCCGCCCAGTGAGTGGGTCAGCTGGAAGCCCTGCAGGCAGTCACAGCTCTCGGCCTCCTTCCGCACCACGTCCAGGACGGAGTCGACCAGCTCAGCGCCCTCTGTGTAGTGGCCCTTGGCCCAGTTGTTGCCTGCCCCAGACTGACCTGAAATGGTGTTGGAAGTCAAGCTGGATTAGGAGGGTATAGAAAGCACACGACCACACTGCCACTTTCCAGCTTTTGGGATAACCCCTCTGGAAGTATGGTATTCCTTCCTCCCTTCCTTGGGTTGATGTATTATCCCTGCCCCTTCCCAAGATTGACCTAGCAGGGCACTCACTAACAATGCCTTCCATCCGATTCAGAACCCAACCTCACTGCAAACCCCTCTGCAAAACCACCAGCTTCTAACTCTTGCGATCCACCTTGGGCCCAAATAAACGGCAGATGCCATCTATGAATATGTTCTGAATAACTCACCAAAAACAAAATTGTCTGGTCTGAAGATCTGGCCGAAAGGCCCTGAGCGAACAGAGTCCATGGTTCCAGGCTCTAGATCCACCAAGATGGCACGAGGAACGTATTTGCCACCTGCCGGGAAGAAATCAGGAGACCGATTGGTGATTCCGAGCGGCAGCCACCAGGTGGCAGCAGCAGTCGGGCTTTGGTCCCAGATGGTGGGAAGGAAATGAATGCTTCTACAGCGAAGGGATGGGGACTCATTCAAAAAGAATACCGTGCTCCCCAAAGATGGAAAGAAATCCCTGGCGAAGCGGGCAAGGCGATGGTGCCCATCGCGGTGGCCACCTGTCCTCACCTGTGGCTTCGTTGTAGTACACGGAGATGCGGTCCAGCTGCAGGTCGCTGTCCCCGTGGTAGGTGCCGGTGGGGTCGATGCCATGTTCATCACTGATCACTTCCCAGAACTGCAGGGGGTGCAGCACAGTGAGCCCCCCGCCATCAATGTCTCCCCCGCTAGTTCCACTCTTAGACTCGCTGCATTGAGCCTGCCACGCCCTGCCCTTCCCCCAGACGCCCGAACCCTGGGGAATCGGGACTTCAATAGCCCGTCCAGCTCCATTGCGTGGGATCTGGGGGCCCGGGATCCCCTGGCACCCGGGTGCGTGGGCGGGGGAGGCAGAGCGGACCAGAAAAGCACCCCTCTCGGCCCCTGCTGGGCACCGCCCTCCACGCACAAAGGGCGACGGGTGGGGAGGGTGCAGGAAGCGAGCTGCTGCCGCAGTCGCCCCCCTGCGCGTGACTGCGGCGCCAATGCGCGTGGAGCTGCCCACAAGGGCGGTGTCGCGCGTGGGCGGGGCGGGGCGCGGGCCGCCGGGGCTGCATTGTCCCGGGAGCGCCGGGGCCCCGCCCCCGCCGGGCCCCGCCCTGCTGCTACAACGTCGCGGGCGCGCTTCCTCCCCGCCCCTCCCCCGCCGCCCTGCAACCGCGCGCAAAAAGGGAGGCGACAAAAAGCACACCCTAGGCTAGGCTTCGAGTTGGAATTTCACCCCTCCGCTGGTTCCTCCAGCTTTCCAGGCTTGGCTTTCCCTCCGGGTAGCCCCAGAGACCCTTTCAGTGGGCATACCCCGACCCTTTCCTCTTCCAGCACCAACGGGGCCGCGGAAAGGGGAAATTAAGAAAAGAAGCAAAACGGATCCCGTCCATTTTACCCTTCCACGCTCCCCTAACGGTGGGACCCGCGCTTGGGACCCGCGGAGATGGCCAATCTTTTGTGAAAGAGGGCGCACGCCGCCCCCCGCCTTTGGATCGCCCTCTGCAGCTGCCCGCCCAGCCTCGCCCCTTCCCCCTCCGGCTTCGCCCTCACCCAGCCACGGGGGGTGGGGGGGGTGCACATGGGACCCAGCTTGCCTCGCTTTGTCTTCCTCCCAGGTCTTCGGACCGTTAGCAGATCCCTCTGAAGTAAAAATCTTAGCGATTCTCCGTCTCCTCGCCCCCCGGCCTCCCCCAACAAACCTCTTTGAAAAGCTTCCCCAGAGTTAAGACAATGAAAAATAATCCCCCATTTTCCAAAAGCCAATCCTAACTACAAATGGGGGGTCTGTGTAGGACACACTTGTAGCAAAGCTCGATCAAGGATGGAGCGCAAATACCCCAGAATCCCTCCTCATCATTTTTCTGGATTCTTTTTCTTCCCGAAAAGAAATATAGTCGCGAGGTTTAAAAAATCCTTACCTTGGCACCGATCTGGTTGCCACACTGGCCAGCCTGGATGTGCACGATTTCCCTCATAGTGAAAATCTATTTTATTATTACTTTTTTTTTTTTTGGCTAGCCTCGGGTGTGCGGGGCAGAGGCACGAGCTGTAATTTCGGTCTCTGCGGGTCGCAAGCTGCGAAGATGGAACGCGGCCCCGGAGGTTGGAGCAGCGAGGTCCGAACGCGACAGCAGGAAGGTTCTGAGAGGGAGAAAGGCGGAGGGGGCAGGGAGAGGGAGGGAAGGCAGGAGGGCGGGGCGCGCGTGCGCGCAGCCCGGAGGGTGGGAGATCGGGTCCCGCGCCCAGGTCGGGAGACAAAGCCTCACCAAGCCTGTCCCTGATTAGCCAGTGCCGGTCACGTACTGGACGTCCATTGGCCCCTGCCAGAGTAGACGTGCGCCATCCTCTCTGGGAGCTGTAGTCCTCTATTGTTCGTGCTGAAAAATGCAGTGACGAATGGGTGGGTACCGGGTTTGGGGGTGTTTTGTTGGATTTTGGTTTCTTTTTCATGAAAAGTAGTGACCGTGCACAAGATCCCTTTCCGTTTTGGCAATGCTTGGTTTTAGGGACTGAAAGGGATAGAAAAATGGAGCGCTTGCAGTGCCAGGAGTGGGGAGGTGGGGAGGGCACGCCCTGAAGCTCCCTTCCTTCTGCTGTCGCTCCTGGGACACGAGCAAGAGAAATAACGGGTATTTTATGCTTATTTCCTAACCTGTAGTGAACCGTTTCACGGGCGCTTTACTTTGCCCAGAGTTGTACATTTGGAGAGGTTTGGATTCTGAAGAAAGGTACTGTGAGGTTGGCAGAGAGACGCCAGCCATGCTTAGAAGCAGAATAGTTGATGTGAACGGGGAAATGTTTCACTACAGATTAAGAAATAAGCACATGTAGCCCGGGTTTACCTTGTTTCCTGGATAATCTGACACTATCAGGAAGACGGGGTAGCTTGGCCCAACAAAAAACGGGAGAAATGGGGCATCCTGTTCTGCTACCTCATTCCTGGTCCTCGGTGACAGGTTTGAACTCCAGGAAAGCCTGGAAACAAAGAGGGGCTTGCTGGCCTGCCTTTTCTTTGGGAGTTTCCGAGTACTGTTTTCAAAAGAGAAACTACATTGTCTAAGACCTTTTCAAGATGGAGATGTAGCCGTCTAGAGTTCAATGATTAAGTTGACTAGTTTAGGGAAGCTGCCATCTGGGAAGTCAGAGTCTTGGCCAATTAGGGGATATCTGGGCCTGGATATCTTGTTAACATAGGGGATATCTGGAGCAGCTTTGGGTAAACTTTTTAGTTGAACAGAGATCTGGGTTTAGATGCCTAATAGAATTTCAGGGCCTTTCTAGTACATGGATGAAGGCAGTGGCTTTTTAAAAAAAATCATTTTATTAGGGGCTCATACAACTCTTATCACAATCCATACAGACATCAATTGTGTAAAGTGCATTTGTACATTCATTGCCCTCATCATTCTCAAAACATTTCCTCTCCACTTAAGCCCCCCGGCATTAGGTCCTCATTTTCCCCCTCCCTCCCCGCT